GAGGCTCATCCTTTGGCAATAATTAAAATGTCTTATAACACATTTAATTAAAAATTTTGATGGGGCTTTCATAACCGGACTTTAAGCTGAAATGATTTCTGTTGGCTCATTGAGTCACAGAAATAAGAAAAAAAAATCTATACTGATTCATTTTGCTTCCTTTATATCTTTTAGTCTCTTTCAAACACTCAGTTTATTTTAGGAACATGGTTTAAAATACCAAGTTTTGCATAGACATAGGACAAGATGTGATTTTTTTTCTTCTGTAAGACAGTGATATCAGTGCCACAGCTGCCTCAAATCAGAACTGTTCCCTAATGAATCGACTGTTTCTCCGTATAGAATATTCTGATAGGCACATTAGAATAAGTCATGGAAATACATGTTGGTTCTTTAAATTAATAAATGAAAGAAAGTAACAGCTTCCAACTACAACAGGAGTCGAGTCCAAGAAAAGACAAGGTCCTGTCATTTATACAACTTTGGCTTTGACATCATCCAAAATTCCTACGCAGCTGGACAGGAGTCTCAGGAATGAGAACACAACCAATTATGTCCTTCTGTGAAGCTCACTGGCTGCTCCGTGTGCACCGAGATAAACACAGCTGTCTATTCACTGCCTTGCCTACGTCTCTAAGTGAGACACAACCAGTCGAAGTCTGTATTTCACAGATGAACAGTTCTAAGTTTGTCGGGGAGGTGGGGTTTTTTCTCCCAGTTTGGGATAGTGGCTGCTTCCCATCAAAGACAGATGCTTCCAGTCTTTTTGGTACAAGCATTCAGTTATATAGAAGGTATAAATTCTACTGCTCTATAGCACAGAGTAGTGACTTTGTAAATTTCAACGTAGGTAGGAAGAATACTTGAGATGTTCCCAACACAGAAATAATACTTAAGTTGACGGATATCCCAAATACCCCAATTGGATCATTATGCATTCTATGTTTACAACAAAATATCACATGCACCACATATGTCAATTAGATAGTACTAAAAAGTCAATCCAAACAAGCTTCTTCCCAAAAAACCTATATATAGTATTTCCATAAATCATTTAAACAAAGATTCTTAATTTATTCTCTATAATTTAGTCCAGTAAGCAAATTAAATATGAAAGAAACATGTAGAAAATACTATTAAAAGACATTGCCTTTCTTCACAAAGCAACTGGGAAAGACCTTGAGTTTGTGCTCTTGCGCATTTCTGCAGATGCTTTTATGGAGGAAAACATTTATAATACTCCACTTTTCATAGGGAAGCTATTATCATTGATATGTTATCACTACGTTTCATTACACCCTTGAGAACTAGGTAATATTGCTTATATCAGTTTACAGCAACACTAAACCATGCATTTCTTGATAAAACTAAGAATAAACAATTTCACACACAAAAATAGCCTTGTCCTTATTTATCTGTTAAAACTCACACCAACATTGGACTCAAGAGAAAATACAAACCCATTTTTAAGATCCCTCTGGCAGATGTAGATATTTATGCGTGGTTTACATAGTTGAGAAAAATTATTTCTAAAAATATGTTAAGCTCTCGCTAAATCACTGACAAAAGCCTCAGTGACTAATGCATTCAATAAATGAAATACTGCATGTTTTGGGCTTAGGAATATATTCAAGAAGAAAATGTGCTTAGAAACATCAAACATGAAATGCTAGTAATGATCTTTCTGTTAAAAAATCAACAAATCACTCCCCACCCAGAGCCGAAGCTGTGACGGGAAATAAAATTTGCTAAGATTCTGGGGGGGGGGGGGCGGGGGGAAGAACATAAAAACATAAAACTACCACCAACCCTATCTTAAAAGTTTAATTTTATGGAACTCAGCCTACCTTTATGCTTTGTTTTCTGTATTCTTCCTAGATACAACGGAACATATCTAAAAATAAATATCAGAAGTTGTCTGATTTGCTTTTTATCCTAAGCATAATGAGCAAACACCAGTGAATGTGTTAGCTCTTCCCAGAAGCCCTAGAGAAACACGTTCATCAGAGTTCAAATCTCTGGCAAACATCTTTGCCGTGTTTTTAAAAGGGTCTCCAGAGCCATAGTAACTTCAATTTCTACGTTGCAAAAGAGAATGACACACTATTAAGAGATTCAAGAATCCTCAGTAATTCAAGAGGAAAACAGGATAAACTGCCAACAGACAGACTTTTAGAAAACGCATTTTGGAGTAATTGTACTCTTGCTTGAGAATGTCTAGGGTTGTCATCAAATTTCATCAGACACAAGGCGGTAATTCTAGAGTGCGTAGTAGTCTTCTCAGGTTGTGTGTGTTTTCCATTAGAGAATCGTTACAAGTAGGTCAATCTACTCTAAATTTCTTACGTTTGTAATTACACATTTTTGATTCAATATTTAAACAGCAATTAGTGATTCATAATTAATCAATAATGGTTGTGTAATTAACACCCTTTTTGAGCTTCATATTTCAATAAGAAAGTGATGTACAGTTTTGATGGCAATAACCTTTAGAAAATAATTTCAGACAAAACATTTAATCCCGTACATTATGGCCTCAGCCTATTTCTTGGAATATATAATGAATTCAGTGAAAACTTCAAGAAAATTAGATTTCTTCCATCTTCAGAATGATTGTGTGTGTGTGTGTGTGTGGTGGGGGATGGAGTTTCACTCTTAATGCCCGGGCTGGAGCACAGTGGCACAATCTCAGCTCACTGCAACCTCTGCCTCACAGGTTCAAGCGAATCTCCTGCCTCAGTCTCCCAAGTAGCTGGGATTACAAGCATGCACCACCAAGCCTGGCTAATTTTTATATTTTTATTAGAAACAGGGTTTCACCATGTTGGCCAGGCTGGTCTCAAACTCGTAACCTCAAGTGATCCACCCACCTCAGCCTCCCAAAGTGCTGGGATAACAGGCATGAGCTATAACAGGTTTATTATAACCCAGAATGACAACTTATTCAATGCTTTAATTAGGCAAATAAAGCATTATTTTAACTCATATTGATCAAGGGTCTTCATGTGCTGCATACTACTAGGAGACTTGGTATATATGGGTGGACACAACAGAAAATCCCAGCTCATGCAGGTGCATCCTGCGACACACATTTTCAGTATTTTTGTCCTAACATGGAGCTCGATCATTGGCAAAGAAATGTTCCAAAATGTCAAAATCTGTCTTTAATTTTAGCTTATTGTAATAAGGTACCTCAAAATTATAATACTGGGGACTCTTAATCATTTGTTAGATAATGTTAGCTCATAGTTAACTGATAATAACTAGTCATAAAACTATTTGGTTGAATAAACATTTTCAGTATTTATTGATTTATTTTGATTTTATAATATTTATTTTTGATATTTATTTTTAGATATGTCCCATTGTATCCAGGAAGAATACAGAAAACAAGGCATAAAGGTAGGCTGAGTTCCATAAAATTAAACTTTTAAGATAGAACATAAAACTGCCACCAACCCTATTTTTTTTTCCCCAGAATCTTAACAAATTTTATTTCTCATCACAGCTTCGGCTCTGGGGGCGGGGAGTGATATATTTTTTTTTAACAGAAAGATCATTACTAGCATTTCATGTTTGATGTTTCTAAGCACATTTTCTTCTTGAATATATTCCTAAGCCCAAAACAAGCCCAAACAGTCTATTACAGAGACTGATGGATCCTCACATTTCATTGATCATTTTCCATTTTTAAAATTATTAATTGTGTAGAATTAGTTTAAATTTCCTTCCGAATTATGACTTGACTGGAGGAAATTATGTAGTATCCCACTGGGTGACCTAAATTTGAAATGACAGGTCTGACTCAATCAATGACATGTAGGTCAATATCACAAAGAACTGGATTGTGTCATAATGAATGTCTGCAGATCAATAGATTTGAACATGTTAGAAAAAAGCTTTGTGGTTTCATCATTTGATGAAACCACAATTAACAATTTATTTGAATTGGCTTCAAACCAATCTGCAGTTGTGTCCTTCCCTGCTCAGCCTTCCGAGTTAGGCGAAAGGCATGACATTACAGTCCCCCTGTGGACAGAGCCGGCTTGTGGACACGTGGCCGTGTGGGGCTACTGTACTGCAATATATTAAGAAGGGAATTGGGCTCAGTGGCTCATGCCTATAATGCCAGCACTTTGGGAGGCTGAGGTGGGAGCAGCACATGAGATCAGGAGTTCAAGACCAGCCTGGCCAACATGGTGAAACCCCATCTCTACTGAAAATACAAAAATTAGCCAGGCATGGTGGCACATGCCTGTAATCCCAGCTACTTGGGAGGCTGAGGCAAGAGAATTGCTTGAACCCTGGAGACAGAGGTTGCAGTGAGCTGAGGCTGCACCATTGCATTCCAGCCTGGGCAACAAGAACAAAACTCTATCTCAAAAAAAGGAAAAAAAAAAAAAAGGGAAAGCTTTAAATCTTTTTAAAAGGAGATTACATTATAAAGGCACATTTTATAGATATTAGTAATTTATACCATAAATTATTCAATTACTCAATGCCTAAATGCTGCCTCCCAAGAAGGGCTATGCTTGTTTTAAAGAGTGGGATTGCTTTGTGTTAATTGGTTATGATCTCATCGAGGCTTTCTAGGAAGATTTTGAACCAGATCTTGAAAGGTGATTAATATTTGAATATGGAAAAATTAGAAGGGCACTCCAGAAATAAAAAGGACAAAAATGTCATGCTATTAAGGAAAGCAGGTGCAGAGGCTTACCAGGTGCACAGATAAACACAGCAGGACTCAGTTTAGGGAGCAGAACTGGGCGGAATGTGGGAAAGGCTGATCATAGAGCACGAGGCTTTAAGCTTGTCTGAGGCTTTTCATGCTTTGACTCAGGTTGGTCACTAAATCATTTGTTTTTGTTTTTTGAGACGGAGTCTTGCTCTGTTGCCCAGGTTGGAGGGCAGTAGTGCAATCTTGGCTCACTGCAACCTCTGCCTCCCAGGTTCAAGGGATTCTCCTGCCTCAGCCTCCCAAGTAGCTGGGACTACAGGCATGCATCACCACACCTGGGTAAATTTTTGAATCTAATAGAAAGCAGGAGAAGGGGGAGGGGGGAATCATGGGGTGGTAGAGTGGGGGTCGGTTCACCATGTTGGCCAGGCTGGTCCCGAACTCCTGACCTCAAGTGATCTGCCCTCCTCAGGCTCCCAAAATGTTGTGATTACAGGTGTGAGCCACCAATGCCCAGCTAAATCATGGTTTCTTTCTCATTTTCATTCAGCACAGATGTTAATCAAGAACCTTCTGAGTGTCAAGCACAGTCAAGGAACTAGGCAAACCATGTGAACGTGTGTCCCCGACCGTATGGCTCGACGGTTCCCACTGGTGAAAGCTCATCAGAAAGCAGGACTTAAACTTCTACAAAGTGATTTCCAGATGCAAAACCAATCAACTAGGAGGCTGTTGCAGGACTCAACTAGGACCAAGGATGGGGACGAAGGAGCAGGAAAACACGGGAGAGATGCCGCAGAGCCAGAACTGAGAGACTTGGCAATTGAGAGCATAGAGGAAGCAAGTTGTATGGGGGTCTCAGAAACAGTCACATGCCCTCTGAGGTTTGCAGCATAACAATCACTCCCGTCTACTGCCAGAAAGTGAATTGCATGTGAAGGACAGCTACCATTAACAGTAAAGAAAGCTTTACCAAACACAGAGCAGAGCAGAGGGCTCAGAGGCTCCCAGCAGGGAAATGTATATTAAGATTTATGGACATATATAAAAGAATTAGACCATGTATATACAACTTTGTGTGTATATACATGCCTGCATATATCTAGACAACCAAATACCTATCATAATAAACACATATACACAGTATACCCATATATAAATATTACTGTGCTCCTATATGTATGATTTTAACCTAGATTTGCAGTTAGTGAAAAAATATGAAGATTTACCCACTAATAGGTGCCAGGGCTGCCCAATCAAGTTATATATTAAGGTGGTTATTTTCTTTATGCTCACGTTTTTCATATACTAAGATAAAACATCTATAACAAGTTAAAAATGAGGCCTGCTTGGGAAGCTACCTCATGTCTCCGGCACAGACTGTTTTCATAGGAGTGAGGTGTACCTTCTCTAGGCAGGAGGGCCAAAGGGCACGTCCAATGATCCAGTTCTTATTCCAGCCACAGGCCACAGGCTAGACACCATTGCATGGTTTCCTTTTCAATGTAAAATTATAATTTCCCACATTTTGAGTTTGCTCATACAATCAAAATACAATCTCTGAATCAAAGCAAACAATTTAATCACATGCATAAAATCAACAGGATTACAAGGCGGATGTATTAAAAGATAATGCTGTCACAATCAATACTTTAAATCGCATAATTTTGTTTGTAGTCGAATTACTATAGTGCAGCTATCATGCTGAATAGGTACTCTCAATATGATTAGAAATACATCATCATGAGTGATATAGAAGTGCAGGGAGCTTATTAACTACAGGATTATTTGGTGAAAATTGAAAATAGTTAATGATATGATAGTTTTAGCAAAACATTAGAACAATCAGCCACAAATATTATCTTCTCAAACATATTTGAATCTATCTACCCTAGCAATACATACAGTTAAAAAGTTAAATTTCACATTGAGGTATTATGCATCATTATAACGTTCAGTCAGCACCACAGTGACCAGCACTTTTTACATATGAATTGCAATGTAACCAATTCAGAAGGATGCATTGAACTGAACACACATAATGCAGAACTAAAAGTCTGGAAGCCTATTGATAAAACTGTATAATTTATGTGACAAATGAGATTTATATATTCTCAATATATCATATCACCATGAGTTCTCTTGAGCAAATGTTTTAAAATGTATAGCAACAGAAAAATCATTCTAATGATTTTCTTGTAGAACACCCCAATTTATTCTAGAAAAGCTTGATGAAATTGACCAAAGCTAGATTATAAAATATAAATTTGAGCATTGCCTGTCACATAGTTCAATGTCCCTTCAATAAGTGCCATGGAAAGTTCCCCTTGAACAATATAACATTGTTTTCTTTTAATATTCTGATTACCAGAGAGCTCAGTAAATCCAAACTTAAGATTCAATCTCAGCAACAATTTTCGTTTAGTTTAGCATATGATAAATACATATATATTAAGAATATTATGTAGGCATGAATTCACAGACACACACACATATGCGTACCTATTTCCCTGATAAATCATGTGTCAGGCTACTTGTCACACGCTTGAGGGAAGGTGCCAGTAAAAGGAAATAGTATCTTTAGAGAAAGGGCAAAGGTATGAGTAAATTAATAAACATTTAGATGAAAAAAACAATCATATAGCAGATAAAGTACAAATGCAAGCATAACTCATAGCTGATTATAATAGCTACGCATCGCTTGGTACTCCGTAAAAGAGGGATTTTCATTTCATTCGAGACTCACCATGGAATTACGCATTATCATTTTTCCCACTTTACAGATAAGAAATGTTAAACTGAACTTTCTTTAGTAACCAGTGTAAGTGTTGAGAACAAGATTTGGAACTGGCCTTCCGATGCCAAGCCCTGTAATTTATATTAAACCTGTGACTTTATTTCTTCATTTGCAAAATGAAAGAAACAATATTAGCTGTGTTTCACAGCTGGTGAGGAATAAACGACTTGGAAGACACAGAACACCTGGAACAGCTGCCCAGCAACAACCGCACTTGCATGTCACCTGCTGTTATTCTATTGAAAAGCAACAGCAGCAGGTAGATCACATGTCGTCCTGCTCTACTGGTGTCCTTCCACTCCCAGTGAAGACACATTCACTTTTTTTTGACAGAAATTATTACAATATTAACTAGAATTTATTTGGCATTATACAATTAACAAAAACAAAACCCCATCATTTAAAAACGTGTTCATATGATTTACCAATTGTACTGGACCACAGAGCTCATGTTCAAATAGGGAATATGTGTCCATTTACTTGATATGGAAATAGGCCTCTCAAATTTGTTTCATTTTACATCATTTTTCTGCAAGGTTCACAGAGCAAATAAGATTTCCCAATTGACTTATAGAAATATTACCAAATTGATGTCCAACATAATACATATATGCTATATATTATCCTATATTCCGATTTTCTTTGTGTTAGAATCTCAAATTTTGATGTCTGTGTCATAAATGTGTGTATCTTAAGCATTTTAAAATTTTCTCTTTTTAAGATTGGAATATCAAATACTCCATCAACAAATATCTGTTGTCTCCCGTATCTGTCTTTTGTAAATTCTGTCCCACTGTTTCTGTAGAGTTCTTACAGATAAAACCGTTGAATGGAAAATGCTCATGTTTAGAGACTTGGCTGCTTTTCCAAAAAAGAGGAGTCAATGCTAAGGGTGGGGCTGTTTGGGTGTGGAGGTTCCATTCCTCCAATCAGAAGAGCAAACAAGTGTAGGGAACCCTTCTCTAAGGGAAGAGCTATCTGCCCTGTAGACTTCGGGGGTTGGGAGAACCATTTATGTTGTAATTCTCAAAATATCTATTCATTAATCAACTAATTGGTTAACCTATACAATTGTTCAATTCACCAACACATAGGTCTCCAACTCGATGCTTTTATTGAAAGCACAGCAGTTTATCCACCTGCCTTGTACCTCTGGTCCAAGGAATCCACCTAAGGCAAATCAGAGCAGGGACAGAGGCTAGCATTCTTGCACCACCTCTCTGTGAAGGGAGAGCTACTCATCAAGTTGCATTTAGGCAGCATCCTCTCTTGGCCTGGACAGATAATCATATGCATTATTGAATTGCAGCGGTGACCTGACTTCATAAAACAAACACTACAGGCTGCCAGGAACACAGGGCTGGGCACAGTTAGTGCACCATAGAAGCCTGAGAATTCAGAAGTATTATAAAAATAATGACTAATATGCACTTCTATGATTTGTATTTTTAATAGAGCTTGGTTAGCAATTAAAATATACATGTGAGCAAGATTAAATTGTAGCTATTTCTGCAATGGTTTTCCTGTCAATGGTAAAGAAAAGCCCACCAAAGAGCCATAATGAAATGGCCAACATCTTTTCAGAATGACAGGAAAATAAGGGAATGATCTAAGTGGAAAAAAAAAAAAAGCAAAGAGATGCATAAAAACGAATGGGATAGCTTTCTGAAATCACTAAAGTGATTGAGTGGAAAACTCAGAATGATTTAAGTCGTGCTTTGCAATCATTCAAACGGCTGTATCATTTCCTTAAGGCGGCTACATAGCTCTGGACTAATAAGTATCTAACTTTGTGTTCAGGCATAAAGACATTTATTCCTGTTTTTCCCACCTTTTTAATATGAGACAAGACAATAAGATGAATAATACTTGTTGCATGCTGAATATTAATGCAAGAATAATTATTGTTACTACTTTTGTATGTAGGTGATTTGAGATTTCTCTTAACTTGCAGATGTATGTATCTTCATGTTGCCTCCATCTTTCCTCAAGCTTTTTCATAGCACTCAAAAATGGTAAGAGTCAATCTGCACATAATCATTAGGATCTTTCTCAGATAGTATACCTTAGATTGCTCCACACCAAGAAGAACCACGTGGAGTGGAAAGAGATCTTCCTTAAGTGTAAAAGGATACCAAGATTGATACTTAAGATCTCGGTTGTATCAGGCAAGATGCTGAACCTTCTGAGTCATAGAATCATCTTCTCTGTAATCAGGTCACTGTGACATTCAGGTCATGTTACAGAAGCAAAAACATTTTTACAAATATAAACGATTATTACGCAGACTAGTTCGAATTGAGGCAAATATGAATAGGCTGGGAACATGTGCCAATATAATCCAATCCGTTTAAGAATCCATTAGCCATAGAAACTATGTAAAAAGTAAAATAGCTCCACAGAGGTTCATGTCTCCCCATAAAGCAAACCTAGACTCTTCAGTGTTTTCATAGAAAATTAAGGTAACAATCTCATGCTACGCAGTAAGATAGTACAGGGAATATACTTTTCTCCTATTTCATGCACATTCATGAATTATGAAATATCTCAGAGCAAAACACAAAGAGAACTTAAAGCATCATTGAAATTCCCTAGTAATCAGGGCTCTTTCTACGGAGCCTCAATGCAGCCCTTGCTATTCAGAAAAACAGGGAAGTTTGCTTCACCTAATGGGAATTTTGAAAGGAAATGATGACTGATTCCTTTGAAGAATGAGTCCTATTCATTTTGGTTGAATTCCAAGCAAAATGGATGTTCTTGTGTTACAAGTGATGTTACCTTTCCTAACACTATATTGATGTTACAACTCTCTAGCAACAGGGTATATGTAACATAAATAAAAGGCAACAAACTCAGATCAGAAAAGCTGAGCCTGTTCCCACTGCCTCCACAGGCTTCAGCTGTAGCTTCTGCTGCAGCCCAGCCGTGCGCGCGTCTTCGCTGTGAAAGGTGGGTCATCACATTTGCTTGCCTGCTTCAGGTATTTTAAAATAATCTAATTGAATAAAGCTTCTCAGAATACTATGTAAAATAAGGTTCCTCTGTAATATAATAACTTCTGATGTCATCACTACTATGGGAATTAGTACATTCCCTCATTCGCTCTTCCTTTCTTTTCGGGTTCAGTAAAGAATTACCAAAACATTTGCATGCTTCCTATCTTCCCTTTTCATAAGTTAAATGTTATAAGCCTCTGAATTTACTTCTGTGATTACGCATTCCAGGAGAGTGAAATAAAGTTGTGTGTGATTCGTGGGGGTTTGTGACTTATTTTCATCGTACCATTTGCTAACTAGAGGATCCTGTTATGGGTCTTGCTGTCTTACAACACCAGATACCACTGTTATGGGTCTTGCTGTCTTATAATGCGATACCACTGAAAGCTTTGCCCATTGCAGGTTATTGAAATCTAGGTTTGTGTTTAGAGGAGAAAAATGTGTTCATTGCTTTGAGCTCAACTGGCCTAGTTTGATGAATTGTTTTTTTAAAAGGTGATCTATATGCCTTTAAGAGGATTCAAAAAAATGTTAACTGTCAATTTAAGTGGATTATAACTGAATGGAGACATTTCTCATTTACTTAGGCCACAGGATAACCAGGCAATTATCCTGCCTGTGACTTAAACTATGTGTAGGAAAAATAGGTTAAGATTACATTTTTAGCAACTCACAGAAAACAAAAAGTAGAGATGCTTGAGATACTTTGTCCACAGTATTTAAAATATAATTAGCCATATACAATGTTCTCTCTCCTATACGTAAGCTTTCATAAGAATGATTCACTATTTTTAATATATAATATTGTTTTTAACCTCTGGATTTGGCAGTCAAACCTTTTTAGAAAATATTCCTTGGTTTGATGAAACCATATGTATTTTGTCCCTTCTATAATTTTCTCCTTCATCAGATTGTCTTTTTCATAATATTTTACGTTAATTTGAGAAGCGCACTGTGCACCTTCTGTGACTCATTTTGTTTTGATGATTAATTCATTCTGACTTTGCCTCTGATGATCCCATCTAGCAACCATTTGGGAAATCCAGTAATTAATTGTATTTCACAATTTCCAGTTCTCATTCCAACACTGTGTCTGTGAAATGCATTTTTGCCACTCTGTCCACTAAATTTAAGTGATGTCTTGATAGAGTATGAATATACTTGTGTCAAACTGAAGCTACTGGATGCTTAATGCAGCAATCATAACAACTGCTGGTTCCTGTCTGATCTGTTTAATCCTAGGTTCTTATTAGGTTTAATCCAAATGTCTGAACTCTTTAATTGCCTAATTCTTATGCTTGTGTTTTCTGATGTTGAAACTCTTGAAGTTAAATACAATTATTTTTTCCAAATTTTAGTTTTGTGATGACTGAGTTTTTAAGATGTATTACATTTACAATTACACTCTGCAAGTATGACTTTGAAAAAAAAAAATCAAAGTAGTTCATTAAGTTTTCTTACTTTTCAGCTACATAACCTTAGTTTCCTCACTCTGGTAAAATGGGGGCACTTAGAGTAACTGAGGAGTCCATAGAATGAGTATAAACTCACTCACAATGTACCTGAACCATAGTGAGGGGTCAGTCAGTCTTAGCCCTAGCATGAGCCCAGGAGACACAGCAAAGATGGGCATTTGTCCAGTCAAACACACATCGATCTCCTACTACACATAACCTTTAGAAACAGCAATAATCACAGCACTGACCTATAAACAAATAATTCTCTGATGAGAATACAATGCAATATGGATACTACAGAAGTGAAAGCAGTTGAAAAATTTAGCCAGTGTGGTGTTGGTGGCAGTATGTGCACACGTGTCTCATGGAGTGGTGGGTAAGGGAGAAAAAGAAAGCTTGCAGAGGTTGAAGATAAATGAGGCTTGAGAATAAAAAGGCTTAATACTAAACTTTGAGAGACAGACTCTTACCAAGAGAAAAGAGCATTGTAAGCAGAGAATATAGCACAAATCTAAGTGCACACATACACACCCATGCATGCACTTACAAGCATGGACACACATACGTGCAAACATCCACGCACACACATGCACAAACATCCATACACACACGTAAGGAAATCGGGAAATACAATTGATGCCTATATGTATTTTTAGACAAAGGAGTTTAATTCATTCTCTACCTCTAACATCTAATGGTATCTAGATGAGCCAAGAAAGAGGGCTAGAGATCCCAATGAGAATATAGGTGAAATACACAAGTTTTTCTTGGGTACATATCAATTTGAAATACTTCTTGTTATTTGTTTGGGAAGTAGATAGTGGATGAAAGTCTGAATGATATGCTGAGTTTTCATTTAATGTGAAAAGTGATTAAGCCCCCGAGACCCCTAAGCTAGCATGTGGTTCAGGGTAGAAAAAGTGTGTAATTAAAGGAGAATATTTTTCTTGTTTAAAGGGATAGAATGGTTTTTAAATAGAGTAGTCCCAATTAAAATATTTTGGGAATAAAAGAAATTTCTAATAATTATACCATGGAAAGTCTCAAACAAAGCAGTCTTTGAATTTCAAAGGATTTAGTTGATGAGGTCTGTGTATGTGTGCACGAACACACCCAGTAAAAGGAATCTCATAATGAAAGTGACAGTGTCTGCATACACATTTCTATCCACTGAAATAACTGCAGACATCATGGAATTACTTGGAATAACACTGCTGGAACTTGTCACTCAAAGACAAAAGCTAACAAGAATAATAATTAGTATTTTAATGTACTTAGAGGAAATGACCAGGTATATAGCCTATATTTAAGAAACAATCAGTATCTCCAAGTGAAATAATGTTATTGTAATAGAACGTGGCCACAGGGTAATGGGCTGTTACTGCAACGTAAATGCTAATGTAAAGCCAAGACATTTCCGGGGAATGAAAGTAGAAGCAATCAAAGAATTTCTTTTGAAAGGGAGCGAAGCTGAATGCACTGCCATGTTTATGACACTTAGGTTTTTATCCTTTTTGACATCAAGTTTCTCGGCAGTTTATTCTCTCCCATTTTAAATTTTGCATCATTTATAAATTGATGAAAAACACAAATCAAGGTGTGTAATTTTAGATTTCAACATTTTCTACCTGAAAAAGTGGGATGTGACTTGACATTTTTAAAGAGATGTAATCAATATGCAAAATGCTGCACATGTTTAATATACACACTTGTAGGCATTTGAAATATGCCTACACCCATGATATAATCACCCCACTCAAGGATATAAACAACTATTAGCTGTCAGTGTTTTATCCTGCACAGACCTTTTCTTCTGTGTGGTAAGAACACTGACCTTGACATCTATTATTTTCACCAGTTATTCAGCATATAATGCAGTGAGGGTGACTCTAGGCACAGTGTAGACCAGCAGTTCTCTAGAACTTACTTTGTATGACTGAAACTTTATACCCCTTGAAACATCTCCCCCATTTTTCCTTCCCCTGGCTCCTGGCAACCACAATTCTACTCTCTGCTTATATGTGTGGCTGTCTTAGATACTTCATATGAGTGGAATCAAAAAGCACAAACAAGAAAAAGAGACATGTGAGACTCCCTCAAACAAAAAAGCTTCTGCACAGCTAAGGAAACAATCCAGTGAAAAGGCAACCTACAGAATGGGAGAAAATATTTGCAAACCATGTGTGTGGGTCAGGGGTTAATATCCAAGATATACAAGCTTTTACAAATCAAATGCAAAAAAGGAAAAAAAATCCCACAATCCAATTAAAAAATGGGCAAAAAACTTGAATAGACATTTCTCTAAAGAAGAGATACAATTGGCCAATAAGCACATGAAAAGGTGCTCAAAATCACTGAGAAATCCAGATCAAACACAGTGCGATACCACCTTACATCTTTTAGGATGACTTTTTAAAAAAAAGAACAAGTGTTGGGGACGACGTGGAAAAATTACAACCCTTTTGCACTGTCCATTGGAATGTGAAACAGTGCAGCCATTATGGAAAATATGGAGGTTCCTCAAAAAATTAAAAATTGAATTACCATGATTCAGAAATGTCAGTTCTGGGTATATATCCAACAGAATTCAATCAGGATCTTGTAGAGATGTGATTACTCCAGTGTTCATGGTTGCCTTATTCGCAACTGCCAAGACATGAAAGAACCCAAATGTCCATTGACAAATGAACAGATAAAGAAAATGTGACAAACACATGTATATGTGCGTGTGTGTATGTATGTATGTATGTATATATATATAGATACATATATGACGACAGCTTTTTCCACTTTTTAAAGGAAGCAATCCTGCATATGCAACAGCATGGATGAATCTGGAGGGCATTGCACTAACTGAAATAAGCTAGTCACAGAAGCAGGGATATTTTTAGTTTCTTTGGTTTTGCTTTATATTGTTTTTATTTATACAAATTTATGGGGTACATGGAAATTTTGTTATATGTCTATAATGTGTAGCGATCAAGTTAGGGGAGTTGGGATGTCCATCTTAAACCGCTGATGGCAGAGCAAAAAGGAGGTAACTTGGGAGAAATTGCTGCAGGTACCTGCTCCTTACTCTCTTGTGTAGCTTTTCCTTCCCACTAATTCCAAGCTCCTTTCCCTCCGCTCTTTCACTGACCCTATGCCCCATAACCTAACTGGAGAGATGATTCTGTTTTAAACATAGGGGCTGACCCTGCCATAGGGAAGTACAGGCTTAATGTACTTTTACCAAATCTTTTGACTATGACCTTCATGTTATTAGTGCCAGCTGACAAAAGAAAAACAAGACTTCAAGAGTTTATTTAACTTCCCTCAAAATCTGAGCACTTAACCAGTGCTGGCTTAGTACTCACCCTTGATTGTAAGTTTGTGCTCTCTGTATGCTGAATATGACAGTAAGGAAATCCAATTGCTTGGCTATCTTCCATTTACCACATTTATGTTTGTATCCACGCATTCCTAGTAGACTAAGAACAGGGAAAAAAATTAAATCCATGTTCTGGCAATGCTCTTGTCCTCAGGTGTGAAGCAGAATCAATTAGCTAGAATAATTAAAACAAAGAAAATAGGTATACTAGCAAAGCTTTCATTGCCGTGCAATTAATATAATTGAAAGACCTTAGAATGTATCTGCTTTTATTACTTTTCACAGGTATTTTTGTAATCCCGATGAATTTAAGGACTAATATTTACTTCATCATTCATGTTTCAAGCAGAAAGACCAGAATGGTTTTCATTTCATCTTAACTCTAAGGCTAGAAGAGCAGACCAATACACACAAAGCCCAGCTGCTGCTCAAGGTACCTTCCTCAACTTCAAAGTTGTCTGGAGGAAGAGGCAAGTTTGACAGAAACTCTTTCAGAAACCTCTTCAGCAAGTCAAAATAAAGTGCACTTAAGATGAACTGAATGTTTTTCAAAATATTCTAAAATTTTCCACCAAGTTTCTTGGGAACACTTTTTCAAACAAGGATTTATCAATGAAAATATAGCCTGCATTTTCTTTGAGGAGTTTGTATCTCAGAAAGATTGAATAGGTAAGTCTTTAGGAATTCCCAGCTTCTCGAAGTGTTTACTGATTTAGTGAAAAACATCCATTCAGTAGGTTGGTTTTAATTGTCTGTAGATCCCAAAAGAATGTTTTACTCCCCTGTTATTTTCCCCCCAAAGGATTTCATTAAAGATTAAAAATCAGCTCCTGCTTAAACCCCTGAAAAAATTATTGTAATCTACAGGTAACAGACTGTTTCAATTCTTAGTTTACTTGCCCTTTACTATTTAATCTTTCTCTTCCTCAAGCAACTGCTTGAAACAATGAAAAATGTCAAATCCAATATTAATTCATGAGTTTCAAAAGTATGGTGACTAAAACAGAATTTTAATAGTCACATAATAAACTTTGTATTGTAAAATACATGTTATATATTTAATCCAGTTACAATCAAAAGAAGTGTAGTGGGATTTTTTTTTTTTTTGTATGAGTCAAACATTCTTCAGTCTTTTTAAAGGTATACAAAGTTGATTCTCCATCACTACAACTTATCCCATGAGGTAGGTCATTTCCATCCATGAATACGGAGCTCATTTAAGTGTTTTCAAAGCAGGACTGTTGTCACTTAATATTCTACATGCTAAGCCAATATCATTATGTGAAAAAATATATTCCATGCACTTAGTAGTTCTGTTAACTTCAATGAAAATTATGTCAACAAATGTGCTGGCTTTTCTTATAGCCACAATAAGGTAGTATAAGCCCAATGGTTGACCTGAATATGGAAGAACACAAAGACTTTGTTGTTATTTGATGACATAATCATGCAAAGCAGAGGAGTTGACACGTAATCTTCTCTCAAACTCAGGGAGCTTCTGCTGTTTTCTGAGTGTCTTGGGGTAAGATCCACAAGCACCTGTTGGCCTTTTATTGTCTGAGCAATCTTGTTCCTTCCTGTGCAATTTCACAATCTCCAGACTGTTCTGTCTACCACCTTTTCATCAAAACCTCTCATCTGGAACCCCTTTCTTTAAAACTGAGAATGTTACTTGGCATGGGTTTGGCAGTATACATTGACCAGAGCCCAGGTGTATAAAAGTCAAGTTGGCATGACTTAAAATCCTAACTACTACTTTTACCATTTGGGGGTAAGTTACCTATGCTCCTCATGCCTCAGTTTCCTTACCCTTAAAATGAGATGAGCCCAGAAGTACTGTTGTGAAAAAATGCAGATTATAGCTCAAAACTGCCCAGAGTACTTTTATTAGAATAATCACGATATGCATTCCGCATCTACAACCCAGTAGTCAATGTGATCATAAAGGTTAATTAACCATTCCCAAACCAGAGCTAGTAATTCCCATAGTAACCCGACACATGATTTGTCAAAACTTCACTATTATTAGAGATACATGATATTAAAAATTAGTAACTTAATAGGTTACCTTTCTCCACTAAGGTTTTGCATTTAACAAAGAGGTGGCTAATGGTTAAAATACCTGTTTCCATCCTTTTGGTTTATGACTGATCCTGCCTGTTGCAATTCCAAAGCCAGTACAATTTCTCCTTTCAATCTTCTAACAAAGATTGCTCAACTTGTTCTGATCAGATATTTAAAACATTAATGACCATTTTAATATTTGTTTTTCAGTTCAAGAGTTTGACAATATTCAATCAGAAGCTTTATCCCATCAAACCAGTATATTATTCTATTTCTTCATTTAACCAACACACATATATTACGTTACATATCTATAATGGGCATCACTCTGTTAAAAGCCAACAAGAGAGATATTAAGATGGCTTAGTCATACATTTTACTGCTGAACACCTCAACTCAGTGGTAGAAATTAACGTTTAAGGCCAAGTGCAGTGGCTAATGGCTGTAATCCCACCACTGTGGGAGGCTGAGGCGGGAGGGTCTTGTGAGCCCAGGAGTTCAAGAGCAGTCTGGGCAACAGGGCAACCTCATCTTTACAGAAAATTTACACAATTAGCTGGGCACAGTGGTGATGCCTGTGGTCCCAACTGTTCAGGAGGCTGAGGTGGGGGATCACTTAAATCTAGCATGTGGAGGCTTCAGTGACATGTTTGCACCTCTGTACTCAAGCTTGGATGGCAGAGTGAGACCCTGTCTCAAAAAAACAAACAAACAAACAAAAAAAAACCACCTCACATTTATGCAGCTGTTTCACACCCAGTGGATGGTCTAAAGAACAGAAAGAAGCAGACAGTGATGGCTTTACCTTGGGGAAAAGGGGCTGGTCAGAGTAAAAAGCTTATCTTGAATGGGTCCTCATAGGTAATGCCAACATTGCCCTGTTTAGAGGCCTTCTGATGTAGAAAGAAAACATACACAAGAATTTTGCTTACAAACATATCAGACAGCTTGTCTTTCCATGCTCCCCTGATGAACCACCTGTCCTTCTCTAAGGCACTGATCACAAGGACTTATACCTGTGCATGTCCCACCTAGCCCAGGAATACCCAGGTACTGAAGAGCTACATTCTGGGAACCTCAGTTCTGCAAAGGCCCTGAATCAGTCCTGAGAAATCTGGCAGTACAAGAAGCCTTGTTTACACCAACAGGATTGTGAAACAGACAAAGTGCTTCTAATTTGCAGCCTCACCTCAACCCTATGCCACAGCACCCAAATGAATTCAAGCTTGGTAAAAAAAGGAACCATGAGGTTGCTATTTCCTTTCTTTTTCCTACATTTCTCACTGCCAGCATCTACCAAGACTCGACACGTTAGAGATAATTGATGGCTGTGAAAGAATAACACTTATCTGTACAGTAATTGACAATAACTGAATTTATATGTTTGGAGGAACATTTATGTTTTCAGATAATGACTTAGGACCTTTTTGCTAGATTCTCATCACAGAAGAATCGAGAAGCTACAGCCTCCGACAGTGGATAACCAGGAGATTGCAGTCTTTGTGTAAAGAGGGGACATCATAAGCCACTACAAATTAGATAGATGACAAATACATAGATACATAGAACAAACTATGACTTGATCATGGTAGTTTTATATTGCTAAGAGGTCACAGAAAAATCCACTTAATGCATGCCAACTAATGCCAATGACAACATTGTATTGCAACCTTGTGTCCTTGTATCTTGGCTTAATTGGAACCATTGGATTCTCAGAAATATAACATGGGTCATTCCAGTCAAGTGCAGCCTACTGTGAGGTTAATGTGGAATGAGCAGGGAAAGAAAGAAATCAGGTAAGTGAAGAAATTCTGGGAAAAAAGAAAATCAAGATGATGCTTCTAGAAGAGAGTCTAATGAACTTTCAGTGAACTTCCTTATGTTACACAGAAATTATTTGCTGCCTGAAGAAAAAGAGCAGCTAATCAACGAGGCATTTAGAGGCCCTTCGTTTTAAGGGCTGCACAAAGCAGTTGGTGAATAACAGGATGATCTGCCCTTTACTTCAACTCCAATCATGCGAAGTCAGAAAGTGGGAGGGGTGTTTTTTTCCATTTTACCTATGCCTTAGGAAAAAACTGTAAAAACTTCATTAAAATCATCTGTTATTCAATGGACAAAGAATCTAGAATCTGAAAAATGCAACTATTGGCAGATGTCCTTTCATTTTCCACACCTGACAAAGACAGGGAGCATTACAAGAGCAGATTGTAGGTTTGACTGGGAAATTAGAGCTCCACTGGGAGTCTTTGGTTCACATCTTCTTTCCAGTGCTTCAGCAATTACTGCAATACCTTATAATTAGCATCCTTATTCTTATTAATAAAACAATAACAAAGGACAAAACTGCAGTCATTTATTGAATATCTACAAATGTTAATATGCAATATGGAGTACTTACTATCTGCCAAGCAATTTACACTATCGTCTTATTTGAGTTTTGTCAAGATGCTGCTCATTGCATTGTACGTATTTTTTAATGTCAGAAGAAAATGAGTCTCCAAGGGTTTAAGGCACTTTCACAAAATGTCATGCCAAGGTTTGCCTGACTCCACAGCCACCTGGTGATACTTTCTTTTGCATTGGAAAGGTCATGGAATGAGAATGCTCCGATTTTTGTTCATACTTCAGTGAAATGGTCCATAAATATTTACTAGACATTCAGAAACACATGCCTGTACCTGGCCTTGGGGTTCTAGTCCAATCTCTACAACTTTAGGGAGATGACTGCAGCAGGTGCCCTTCAGGGACCAGCATCTCCTGCCCCCTCTGCAGACACTCACAAAGCACACTGTGTGCCACATCCAGAAGGTGCAAGGATGAGGATGAAGAGGAAGCAGCTGAAACAAGCAGACACCCCCGAAAGCCAGAACCTTCAAGATTTAAACTGCTTGTCTGGGAGAAAAAGCGAGGGGAACTCCAAATTCCCACTGCACGCATAGTCACTTTCAGAAGGAGCTTCCTCCAAGCAATACCAGATGTTACCCAACAACCAAACCAGAACCAACCAAAGCTTCTGTCTACCCTTACTCTTCAGGAACCTTTTGTGTCCTGCTCACTGAACTGGCATGTGCCTCTGCTTTCCTGGTATTTTGATTACACTCATGTACATCAGCAAACATGCATGGAATGTCCTGAGTGTGGGAGGGTTTGGGAGGTGAGGGGCTGGGATTAGGATGGGGACAGAAGAAAGTAATTATTTAGCTTGTAACAGAAGGTTGTGGTTCTAGTTCTTCCCGAGATGTTCAGTCCTTAGGGCACATGAGGAGATGGACAGATTCTTAGGGAGCTGCAACACCTGAGTGGTGTGCTACAGTGGCAACGAGCTTGACAAGACTGCAAGTTACAGTGAACATCGATGTCTGCTAAGAGCATCAGGAAGACTTTGGAGAAGAGGCGCTGTGGCCAGGGAAAAAATTAGAAATTGTTCATGTAAATAAAGGGACTTCTCTAGGCAGAGGGAACCATGTGAGCTAGAACACGGAGGCATGAGCTACGCAGGGTTTTATGGAAATGATTGGTTGTCTGCTTGTAGTTAAAATTATTACTAGCCAACACTTACTGAGATTCTAGTAAGTGTCAAATATATCTGATAAATGCTTTAAATGCATATTCTGATATTTCTAATAAAGAAAACTCAGGTAAATGTGACAATGATTTCCATTTAATTAACAAATTAAAATGGAGAGAGACATTACTGATTGGACTAACTCTTATAACTGTTAAAAAGTGAACCCAGAGAACCCAGACATTCGGTCCTCAGGGTCAGTCCTCTCGAACCCTGAGATAAAAGCAGGTGCATGTGTGTGGGGGTGTGTGAGAATTGCTAGATATCAGAAAGCTCAGAACTAGCTCGAGCACTCTGAGTTTAGTTCCCTCGATTCTAAAAGCTCTTGTCTTATTTCATCAAGGAAATGCCTGGCCTGCCCTGGTCACCATTTCCGATTTACAATAAATGGACTGACCTTCATCACTTCAATAGTTTACATGAGAATATCTCAGGTGGAAAGTATATACTACTTTCCAATTCTAACTTGGATTTAAATCTGTATTTCAGTTTTCACGTATTCCTCATTCTGAGAGGAAAATTGATACCTACTATATTAGTCCATTCTCACACTTCTATAAAAAACTATGAGACTGGGTAATTTATAAAGAAAAGGAGATTAATTGACTCACAATTCACCAGGCTGCATAGGAGCATGGCTGGGAGGCTTCAGGAAACTTACAACCATGGCAGAAGGGCGAATGGGAAATAAGCATGTCTTCACGTGGCAGAAGACGACGGTTAAGGGGGAAGTGCTATACACTTTCAACCAACCAACTCTCATGAGAACTCACTGTCATGAGCATAGCAAGGGGAAAATATGCCCTCATGATCCAATCACCTCTCACCAGGACCCTCCCTCAACATTGGGATTACAATTCAACATGAGATTTGGGTGGGGACTCAGAGCCAAACCATATCACCCACTAACTGTTGCTGTGAAGTAGATAAGTTATTGTAACTAATTGTGATATTCCAAATGGAGCACAGGATTTTTGAAAGCAAGGACTCTGTCGATACTGTATCTCTGCAGCAGAGTGGAGGACACTATGCAGAGTGTTGACTGCACAGCAAGTGCTGGATCAATATGTAACAGAAGGAGGATGACTCCTCAAACCTATTTAAAGAAAGACCTGATTTACATTGACTTCTATTGGTTGTCTCAGGATAGGATCCCATAGAAGGATCAGCTGACTAAAATGGGAACTTCCAATCGATTGTAAGTTGGCTGCGTTGGCTAGCTCTGTACTCTAGTGAAGGCTGTAAATAACAAACAGTAAGTGTCACTTGGATTGGTGTTCAGTACAAAGAACTCTGAAGTGCCCCCGCCTCCGATACACCACCCACGTCCTTTATTCCAAAGTGGCCCCTGACTATTCTTTACTACCTTAGCGCCTTGAAGAGTCTGACACGGGACCCAATTTTTATAAAAATAGATCCGGGATGTAATATAGTAGGTGGCCAGTAGGTGCCACCATCGGCAACGTAATTTTAATACTGGACTCCTAGAGATGTTCAAATGAATTCCTTTTGTTTGTTACATAATTGAAATAGAACAATGTCGAAGTTTTTAAACATCTAATTCACACAGATAAAACAAGGATGTGTTATGTCAGATTTAAATCTGTAATTTTAGAAGACAAGACATATTTGAATGTGGTAAAGAGAGGGAAGAAAAACGTGTTTGGAAGGTGGGACTTCAAATATCTACCGAATACCATTTATGTGCTACATGTTAGGTACTGGGAACAGAAAAACAGGTAAGATTTACTTGGTTGTAAGAACGAATCATCTGTGGGAAGATGCAAGTAAATTAGGAGAGATCTAAGCAATATAGGTGTAAGTCCTAACAGTATTATGAAAGAATGCAAAGAGGATCGAGTAGGCACATGCTTATGTATCCACAGGAACTTTTACATAGGCAGTGAAGTCTGAG